GATATCATCACAAAATGAACAAATCTGAGAGAGGACCACATGTAGTACCTATATATGTAGTATCAAAGCAACTGGACTTGCGGTTTTTAACAAGAAGTCGAAAATATCACTTTTTACCAAAAATGACAAAAATATTCACCAAAATTAGAGAATTAAAGATATCATTACAAAAAGTACAAATCTAAGAGAGGTCCACATGTAGTACCTATATATGTAATAGCAAAGCAATTGGACTTGCGGTTTTTAACAAGAAGTCGAAAATATCACTTTTTACAAAACATGACAAAAATATTCACCAAAATTAGAGAATTGAAGATATCATCATGAAATGAACAAATCTGAGAGAGGTCTACCAAAGGTACATATACACCAAGTATCAAAGCATTCAGGCTTGTAGTTTTCAAGAAGAAGTCGAAAAAGTAAAACATTGACACGGACGACGGACAATCACTCATACGATAAGCTCTGCTCAAAGTCGACAGCGGAGCTAAAAAAATAGTATATGTGCTGGATTTTATTTGCACTGAATCATTCCTTCAGTGAAAATAGCGAAAATTAATTCCAAGCAAAAATAAAGTATTTTACAGTATATGTTATTCTGAGTTGATGATGTTTTTTCTGTGCCCCTCCATCATTCTCCTTTCCAGAGTTCCTTGCGGTTAGATCACCGAAAGTATCTCTGCCACCACCATTTTGTGGTGAAACACCACAAGATTTTTTACTATGCGTATCATTTGCGTATTTTTGTTATGAGAGAGATATCGTGTTGATTCATTGCTACTGGAAAACAAGAACTCTGCCTGGGAGATTGTCCCTCCATCTGTATATGTATTACTCCCTGGTGGTAACTGAACAACATCCAAAATGGTTGCGGGGGCCATTTTTGTTGTGAAAATACTAACAATAAAATCATGTATTTTTATGTCTGAAACCAGATCTTTCAAGACTCAAAATGGATGAGAATATAATGAAGAAATCAGTTTAGATTATGTTACTAGTGTTATGGGTAGTTGCTAGTAGAATTGAACATTGCCAAAATTCTAGGCTAAACTGAAAAATCTAGGCACAGTTTAGTATTAATTATGCTTGACGTTTTCACTAGGTGCTGCTGCTGCTGATTTACCCGTCAAAGCCAAACGTAGCACATTCAACTATGCCTTGCCGCTGAGTATTCACCGACCAGGACCACAAGTTGTACACATCAAAGACTGCACTGATGAAACTGGTGAACACGCTGACGGTTCTGGGGATGCTACGACAAAAAGAAACAAACGTGGGGTACAGTGATTTCAGTTATTCACATGAGTGGACAAAGAAAATGTCTCGTATTAATTACACTTGCCATATTTTGCATTCTACGACTTGTATCTTAAAAATTACTGATCGAGTTCAATTTGGCATGCAGGTACTACACAGTGCCTCATCAAGGACATGATATTTTCTTTTATTTGTTTCTCAGGAATCACAGTATATTTTCAAGGAAGGCTCTTTGCCACCACATCGACAGATGTTTTACCAGTTTGCTGATCTTGAGAATGACCAACTGCAGAGTATTATCTCGGCCAATTCACAGGATGAATGTTGTGATGAAAAAGAGGGGTGGTGCCGATCAGAAACCCTCAGTAAACTAAGAGATGTCATGTCTGATATGGTGCGAAAAACCGCAAAAAACAAGGAAACAAATGTGCAAGAAAAAGGTATACATGTACTTTATTTTGGTGGAAATAAAATTAACCCTGGTGTTCATTCCTGGTGTTCGTCCCTAGTGTTCATCCCAGGTGTTCATCCCCAGTGTTCATTCCAGATGTTCGTCTCCAGTGTTTATCCCAAATGTTTGTCCCCAGTGTTCATCCCAAGTGTTTGTCCCCAGTGTTCATCCCAGGTGTTTGTCCCTAGTGTTTATCCCAGGTGTTTGTCCCTAGTGTTTATCCCAGGTGTTCAACCCAGTCTTCTTCCCCAGTGTTCATTCCAGGTGTTTGTTCCAGGTGTTTGTCCCAAGTGTTCATCCCCAGGTGTTCGCCCGCCAGTTTTCATTCCTAATATTTATACCAGGTGTTCATCCCTATTGTTCATTCCAGGTATTCAGCCTCATTTTTCATCCTGTGTTTAGCTCTGGTTTTCATCCAACGTGCTCATTTCCAGAGTTTTTCCCAGGATTTTGTCCCTAGTGTTCATCCAGGTGTTTGTCTCAGTGTTCATCCCCAGTGTTCATCCCTGGTGTTCGTCCCCAGTGTTCATCCCTGGTGGTTGTCCCTAGTGTTTTCCCCAGTGTTCATCACAGTTGTTCGTCGCCAGTATTCATTCCAGATGTTTGTTCAGCCCCATTTTTCATCCCAGATTTAGCTCTGGTTTTCATCCCCAGGTGTCCATCCAATATGTTCATTCCCAGTGTTTATCCCAGGTGTTCAGTTAATTTATAAATTTGCATAATTTCTTTTATATATTCAAGACTTTGAGATAGCTGATGGTTCATCATGTCCACTTGGTCCTAAATTAAAAAAAGTAATTATAAAATAAAACTTTAAAATCTGGCACCCTCAATGAGGCAGGAAAATGGGTTACAGCATGGCACTTTTACTGTATTTGGACAGTGCCATGCTTAAACTGAAAAAAACATCAGAATTTGTTGATATGTTATTAATTTATACTGTAACAACATACTGATTGAAATGCAAATCAGATCAATAGTCAAGTACCATGATTAAGGTGTTGACATGAACAGGATGGCAGGAAAGAATTATTTTAGGTAAAAACAAGTTTTACGGCTCTCTTACTCTCTGCTAAATCTTGCGTTCAAGGTGCAGTTGTCATGGATACAAAATGATTGTAAAAACAGTCTTAAGTGTTCTGCAGAAACAACAAAACTGTGCAGTTTTAACTTTGAGCACTTTGTGTGCATTCCCATGTTACAGATGTACAGAGTGCTCAAGCTGACGAGGGTGATAATGATAACAGTGATGATGACGATGAAGATGATGAAGTGGCAGATGATACAGTAGTTGGTGATGATGATGATGATGATGATGACAGTAGTGAAAACGAAATGACTACTGAGATATTAGATTATTTGTGAAAATGATTTTTCAAGCATACTTTGGTAAAATTGTACAGTGTCTGCATTTGAGACTTTCACTACAAAGTATCCACAAAGGCAATGCGCTAATTGCATCGACCAATGCATGGCATAATCTAAACATTGGTTTTGTACATTCTTCCTCCAATGTCACAATTTTTTTTTCATTGTTTTCACAGTTACTGTAAAATGGCTAATTTTCACTGGGTTTAAATTTCGCTGATTTACCATTTCAGGCATTTTCAGAGGGTTTTAAATTCACAGTTTTATCATTTAGATAATGTGTTTTGTGCTAAATTTTACATATTCACTGGATTATAATTTAGTGCATTTTCCAGTCAGCCAAATAAGCTAAATTAAAACCCAGTGAATAATTACAGTATTCAGGTTTCAATTTTGCTTTAGATCCACTGTCTCTAAGACGACAGAATAAAGCTGTTCATACTGTTATATTTAAATAACTGGTAAATGTATATATTTATATTTTATAATAAAAAAAAAAAAAATGAAGAAAGGTGTTTTTAACTATTCTGTGTTGATGTAGAAGAGTTGCAATATAAATTAAGATAAACTCTTCACTTTATTACATGCAAGTTAACAAAATCACTGGACAAATTTTATCTTTGTGAGTAAGCCCCCCCCCCCCCCCCCCCGTACCTTCAATAGCTTGCCAAGTTCAATGTGACAGGTTTAGTCGTTTTAGCTTAATCCTCTTCACTCCCACTGGAGCATAAGGCGCCAGTATAACTCCTCCAGCCTTCACGATCCTGAGCAAGCCAATGAAATTCGTTCCAGGTTATCCCCATTTCTAACATTTCCATGTCCTTCGCCAGGTGCCCTATGGTCTGACTCTTCTCATCTTTCCTGGTGGTGCACATCTGAGTGCAGTGTGTAAATGTCTAGTCTGGTTTAGTTGTATAATGTGTTAGAAATATGTCATCATTCTTGTTGCAAGGTGATTGATGCAACACGCATAATTTACTTTTTGAGTGCCATTCTCAAAATGGTTTTGTATAGTCTGCTCTTCCGAAAGTGAAATGTTGATAAACATTGACAAATCTTTTGATCTAAAATTAAAAGCAATATCTAAAACTGTCTGGTCCAAAATGATGATGAAATTTAGCTAAAATTTTACAAATGTCAACATTTTTGCAAGGAACTTTTGGCGGAAACAGCTTCACAAAACTCTACAACACGCACATTTTATTTTGATTGGCTCTCTGTTGCTGGAATATTTTTACTGTGTGGCCTAATGTATTTGTTTTTTATCACATTAATAAATTGATCATGGTGTGTTTTTGTGTTGTTCCTACAACCACACAGACTAATCACTACTTTTCTTTAAATATAAAAAAATCGTATTTAAAATATTTTACTGAATCAATTGTTTGTGTTAAAGGTCATGGGTCAATTGTCATGTGACTGAATTGACAAGGGTTGACACATTTGAGGAACACTGGCGAGTTCATTAATTTATACGTTTATTTGTACAAAACCTCAAATATGTAATACGATAGCAATAAAGATTTTATTCTATTCTACTTATTCACTGGATTTTTAATTTAGCTATCGTTGACAAGTAAAATCCATTAGATTAAATCTTGTTGCTTAACAAATTTGTGAAATTAAAACTATGCTCAAAACATTAAAAAATAAATGGTTTTGCAGTACTTCATGAATTATATATTTAGTTTTCATTTACATGGAGGCTGGGGAAGTGTTGTCAATTATCTGGTACGTAAAATCTATTAAATACCACACACGCACAATGTCTGAAGAAAATTTGAAGCCAATCCTGCATTTCAACAACCACAAAAATTCATACCTTGGGGCACGTCAAGCCAAATACATCAACATCTACTTTTCCAGTTTACAACACTACAGTTCACCACATAATGGACAAGAAATAAATGAACAGTATTTAATGTAAAATTGGATTTTTATTTATATAAACAATTTCAAAAAAGCTCAAAGCCGCATCACAATTAAATAACGTCTATTGCCACTTGGTATCAGACATTGTTTCAAAATATACAAATACATAGTGATTCACAACCAGTGACTTCAATAAATCGGAAGTGTCTGTATATACATGATTATGAACGCTAGCCCACCTACTGTGGATCATATTGTTCATTACTGAATAAAACCTGATTTGTCATTCTTGAAAAAATTTCATATCTTAAGTTCAGCGCCATTGTTACCTATTTGGTATATGTATAATTTGTCAGCCAATCAAAACAAGTTTTACAGATGTAGTTTGTAACTCTAGTCCTGATTGGATGTTGATGAAGTAAACTGATAAAGGTAAATATAGCACCAATATATATTATTTTTCTCAGTGCTCAATAATCACAAAACATAGTAATAAACTTAATATAGGAGGCAAGTTACAGACTTATTGGCATACAATTTTGAAACCTTTTGAAAAATTATTGTCATAAAAAGTTGGAAGAAAATCTAATCTACGCCAAATACCGGTAACAGAAAAAGGAATATTGTCACAATGGAAATGTTGCTGTGAAATTAAACTGCTGGCAGCTACAGATATTGACACGTACATTGTACAACAAAAATGATTCATTAAAACTAAATATAAATTCTCAATTCATGTACAAAACGCATTGCATAATAATTTTTTGATTGTTCAATTACAATAACAATGAAATAAAGTAAATATTGGTCACTGACCATCTGCATATAAACAAAATTAATTTTTAATCAAACAATTATTGTGGTTAGTTTGATTTCAGCCATGTGAATAAAATACACAGCGCTTTCAAAAATTATAGACAATCAATGTCACTGCATGACCCCTTAAATACATCCTGGTCTTTTTTTACAACCCCTAAAGTTCATACATCCTGGTATGTATTCATGACCCCTGAAGGTCATACATCCTGGTATGTATTCATGACCCCTGAAGGTCATACACCCTGGTCTTTTTTTCATGACCCCTGAAGGTCATACACCCTGGTCTTTTTTTCATGACCCCTGAAGGTCATACACCCTGGTCTTTTTTCATGACCCCTAAAGGTCATACATCCTGGTATGTATTCATAACTCCTAAAGGTCATACATACATCCTGGTACATATTCATGACCCCCAAAGGTCATACATACATCCTGGTACATATTCATGACCCTTAAAGGCCATACATCCTGGTATGTATTCATAACCCCTAAAGGTCATACATCCTGGTATGTATTCATGACCCATAAAGGTCATACATCCTGGTATGTATTCAAGACCCCTAAAGGTCATACATCCTGGTATGTATTCATGACCCCTAAAGGTCATACATCCTGGTATGTATTCATGACCCCTAAAGGTCATACATCCTGGTATGTATTCATGACCCCTAAAGGTCATACATCCTGGTATGTATTCATGACCCCTAAAGGTCATACATCCTGGTATGTATTCATGACCCCTAAGAGTCATACATCCTGGTATGTACTTATGACCTAATTCTACAAGGCTGAAATTCCAAAATCAAAACCTATCAGGATGTGTGATTTGTAGATGACATGATTAACATTTTACCCATAGAGAGCGACTCTTACAAATGATAATGAATCCATACTGTTAGCCGAGTTTTGACCTTTCTCGTAAAGGATATATAACTCATCTCCGTATTTCAGGCTGTTTGAGAATGCTGTCATAGCGCTGTATGCACTGTAGCCAGGGAAGATATTCAGTTTGCCAGACCATGTTGTACCGTTGTTGTAACTCCATTGTAAAGTTAGGTTCTCGCCTGTAAAATAAGGAATGCTTTTAAAAGTTGATCATTACAAACACTAGCAGAAACTACACCACTTTTTTTTCTGTCTGATGAATATTTTTGGTTCCAATCGTCTGTTAGATCTTTCTTTCTTTTCTTTTTTCATGTGTCCAACCAACATCATTTCTTTGACACGCCTGGACTGATTTTGTTTGAAAGTTAGAACAAAGTCATGATGGGAGACATACAAATGCATTTCTCCATGTTTCTAGATACAGGTTTTTTTAAATTTAAATCCAGTACAAAGGCAAGACATGCACGTTCTTTTAATATCTTTTTGGGATTTCTATGAAATTCAATCGTACCTAAAAAACAAAACTTTAATCAATTCCGTGACATGCTTCAACAGATTTGGCCCAAAATAGGTACTTCATATGCATGTTGATTTTGTTCTTGACAATGTATGACCTGTAAACATTCAGTTACCAAGTTCAATCTGAGTGTTATCGTGCGCATCAGCAAGGGTCTGACGGAATATCATATGACTAACTGATTGGCTGGAATATTAGGCCAATAAATATTTGAGCAATTTTATTCTAACTTTGTTTTCACATTACAAATGGTTTTGATGGACCTCAGTTTGCCGTGTGATTTTATTCAAAATAGTTGACTAGTGACCATGTTAGTTTTATTTTAATATACCCTTAACCATTTCTTTGACTGATTTTTTTCAGGAAAGATGTTTTTACTCATGTTAACATGTAATACACAATATTAAATTATAATCACTAGATTTAACTGTTTGTAATTGAATGAAACTAAAAACTGGACAGGGTGTCATCAATAATTACTGATATTTGCACATCATTACAGTTCTGTTTGTAATCATCTCTCACATGAACTTTCAATATCAGAGAATTACACGCCATTATGGTACTGGTTGTGAATCATTACTTACGCTTATTTGTACTCATTGCATTAACAAAGAATAGTACACCATTATGGTACAATGTTGAAGCAGCACAGGCCGGGTCAATCAAAGCTTCATCAAAGTACAGATTATCAAATGAAAACGTCTCTGCTCCATCAAAACTTCTTGTTATAATACGACAACTACAGTGATAATGACCTTGGTTACGCATATTAATCATTATAGATCCATCAGGTAGTTCCACTGGCTGAAAATATAATCATATGATCAATACATGCATAGAGCAACCAGAGTCAATAGCTACATCAAATTTTAAAAAGCGCCCTCTAGATACCAAGTAATTCGTCAATGTAAACGGGTGAAGGGTTGAGGTTGATTACCGGTAGGTTTTGTAGTCATCCGACAACAAATATTTTTGAGAGAATACAATAATCCAAATAACAAACATAATAATCCATTTTTGTCATTGTAACGTTACTAGATTACAAGCGTGCACAGCATATACAGACGTATCCTCATTTTAACACTGATGGACATGTAAAGCAATGGATACTGTAGATGGTGAATTTAAAACCCAGTGAATATGCTCAAAACATCTAAATAGTGAAATTTAATGTCAGTAAAAATAAATGGTTTTACATTACTATTTTTATAGAATACAATAAAATATTTTGAACTACACTTTTATGGTGGTGAAATGTATTATTAACTAGCAAGCTGATGATTGGCTGTTGAGACCATCAAGACAGCCATTGATTCAGATTCACCCAATCAAAAAGTCAGTTACAATCACCTGACATTCATCTGGTTGAAAATCTCCACTCTTCTTTGGAGCATTGTACGGTATACTTTTAACCATCCCGCCATATCGCCACGTGTTGCCATGGTCGTCGCTAATGACAGTGAACATGCCATCACCAGAAAGCGTGCTGTGTCCGCAAACTACCAGTCTTCCTTTGTTTGGGTTTAATTTTTTCTAGAATGAATTTTTAAAAAATTTGATTAGTTTACCTGGCATTCATTTGGATTGAAGTCACCGGCTTTCGTTGGTTGTTTGAATGGAATAGATTTTATGTATCCACCATTTTTCCATGTTTCTCCATGATCGTCACTGATTACGCACACCATTCCTCTTTTTGAGGTATGTCCACAAACCACTAAACGACCAACATGCGGTGGTAACTTTTTCTACAATGTGAATAATATGAATTGTTTGTGTCAATGGGAAACACCAACATAGGGCGCAAATTTTAACGACTAACGACCCACACATGGTGGTAATTTTTTTTACAGGGTGGAAAAATGTGAATTCTCATTTCAAATGGGGAGCTTGCAGCTAAACTTCAATATTGTATAACACTTTATTTTCGCTGGAATACTCTTCCACGCACTTGTGTGGGATTGCACTGATAATTCGGTAAAATTCATAGATCTGATTGGAGGCGCCTAAAGAATGTGTTCAATCAAGGTTGGCTAAACACGAGACAGGATTGTCTTTGGTATGATGCCTAAGTAGTGAACAACAGCTACAGTTGGTCGAGCTTATTACATAGACTATCACTTGATTCGGTTGCAATGCGTACTTGATGCAGATACGGCAGTAGATTCCATGCGTTCGTTCGTTCCTTCAATGTACAGCACAGAGATCGACACAGAGCATCTGCCTCGACATAGGTCGGTCTGTACAAAATATTGAAATCATTCCCAAAGTATAATCAGTTCACAGTTCTTACCTCAAAGACATATAGTTGCAATGTTTTCAAACGTTTGACGGTTGAAAATCTATGTTCACATTATACTGAGAGCAGTAACAATACAAATTTAATGGGGAAAAGTGGGCAGTTTTCTCACCTGTATACCATACCCAGGACCTGGCGCAAACATTCTCGTACCAATCTGTTCAGACACATTGAATGAATTCGTCCATGTCACGCCATCATCGTAACTTCTGATGACGTGAGTAGTTGATGTATCACAATGGTCGTAGTGCGCACACATGGTGTAAAATATAAACATAATCCCTTTCTCATCATCTGATAAAATTGCTCCTAAGTTTAATCCATCTTTAACAATGCTTCCGTCATCTGACACAAATTGTTGGGGTTCCCATGTGTAGCCTAGAAAATAATAAAAGAATTCATGATTGTGTTTATGGGTGCGTAAATTTCCCAAAATAAATGGTTAGTGTTTTTTTCCTGGGCTGTATTGTAAGTGTTTTTTTAATCGCAAAGCATCTATTTATTTGGGTTTGTGATTTTTAAAATATAGTGGCAGTGTTCTGGCTGAAAATATTGTAAAGCGATTTAATTTTGCGACAGAATTTACTGCACAGGATTATGGGTAACATTTCAGCTGGTGATGTGAAGCAGTATGGACTAAACTTAGTAAGTTGATTCTTCTCGTAGTGAATATAAAAAGGATGATCCATAATGATGATCATAAAGAGCCACGGATTAAGTCGGGAACAAAGCAACTTTTCAGCAGAGAAATTCTACATTTCTCAAATACAATGGTTGAGTTTGTTCTTGGTTACAGAACTACAGTCACTTCCCACTGATTGCAGCAAGGAGTACACCAACCACATGGTACGCAACTTACCTTTGTCTGTAGATCGTTTCACAGCAAGAAACTTTGGACCATGATCGCTACCAGAATATTTCCTTGCTTCACTCGCCGCTATCAAGCTACCTTGTGAAGTGTACGATATAATAGGAATGCGGTAAAGTGACACCTCTTCTTGACCTTTGATCCATATCAATTTTTCCTGAACAACTTTCGGTGTCACCTGACAATCAAAAATCAAGATATGGGAGTCAGATTTTCTCAAGAACACAGAAAAATTTACAATATGGCAACAATGATGTTGAAATGTTTTTCACCCTTTTACGACAAGATTGTGTTATTACTTTGTTTTGCTTTTTGTTCAATGTGCAATGCATATTACAAAATAGTGGGTTAGGGTTAGATATGGAACATTGAATGTTGAGAATTTCCTCCATTTACTATTTTAATGCCATACCCTACACCTGCCCCATTAAACCTAATGCCAAGACACGCAATTCAAAATTATCAAAAAATAACTTGACATGACGGCCATATTGAATCACGGAAATACTGTGTGTACTAATTCGCGAATTTGGCATGCCACATTTTCTTCATACTAAAGTATTTAGGCAATCTAGGTGCGAAGTTTGAATTATTTGGTATATACAATTTGTATGACGAAAATTGTATTTTCAAGAGATTACTACACATCAATATTCTACACCAACGATATCGAAAACCATTGAATGGTCTTGAGGTACATGTAGAGTGGTTAGACCTTGGAGCTAAAAAAAAAGCTCTTTTTTTAGCTCCATGGGTAGACACAGTTGAAATTCCCTTTTAAATAAATGCCATGAACTTAATAATGTCCAAAGTTGCAGTTTCGTTTGGCAGATTAAACTACTCCCATAAAGTTATATTAATATGTGTGATATACAAGTCACAGGGGGTCAAACAATGTATTTGTGTCAATACATGGACGTCTATGAGACCGAACGACAATGCCACGGTAGAATTAAAACAGTTTGGTAATGTAAAGCAAGCATGTGTCTTTTTTAATTCTATATTTTTTATTATTTTGATAAGGAGGAGGATCCTGTACCAGGACATAGTCGTTCCGTCCCATAGACATCCATGTTTTGACACGAATAGAACGTCAGGCCCCTGTGTAGCTGCGGTTCCGTAGCTCTTTGGTGCGACCTACAATCGAATCACGCCCTAACAATTTTATTTGGACGTCTTCTTGTGTGCTTGTATGTAGAACATGGGCCTATGGGCCGGTCAGATTCAGTCACGTAAATAATGCAGTTGGAAACATAGGGCTATTATTCCACAGCTAGCTCCTGTGTAGCCCCGAGTACAGTCCTGTAGGTTGGACTCCAGGACTTCTCAGGACAGTGGGGGCCGAATGACCAGCGGAAGAAGGCCAACCTACAGGAATGTACTCGGGGCTAGCCCCTGTGGTACAAGCCCATGCTAAAATAGAAAGAGAACGCGAAGACAGTTCAGCTTCCAGTCGCTGGTTCGTGTCGTTTATGCTATCGGACTATAAACCCTATCGTGTTCCGATACTAAATACATGTACTTACATTCCGAAATGTGGTGAATCCAGCTGAAAACACTGGAAACCCGCACCAAAACGTCAGGACAACGAAGACAACACAGGGCGCTCCTTTGACGTACATGTTCACTAATTTGTGGAGACGCAATCACATGATGTATCATGTGATGAAACGAAGGTCACGAGAATCTTCACAGCGCCCTCTAAGCACTTTTATCCAGATACAATTCAGGAACCTGAGTAAAGAAACGAGTAATACAATGAGTGAAAACTCACTGAAGCTACAACTTAAAAAGCATGAATCACTCTCTCTACCAAAAGCCAACTTAGACAAGCACATCTCAAAATTAGAAACCCCCCTATTTTCAAAAAAGGTAAAAGGGCGGCAGTCGTCGTGCCGCGTCCTGTTCGATATGGGACTCATAGCGACGTACAACGCGTGTAAAATACATTGTTTATTTACATGAAATTCGAACACGCGCTGCGCCACGACCACTGCGCTTTAAAACATCTAAAGGAAAACAACACAATTATCAGAGAACAAATAGGATTCATGCCAAACTGTAGCACCAAAGACCATTTATTTGTCCTCAAACAACTAAACCACAAAATACCTAAGCAACAAAAAGAATTTGTTTGCTTGTTTCATTGACTTCCAGAAAGCCTTCGATTCCATTTTTCATCTAGGTCTCTTCTGGAAACTTATCCAAAATGAAATTACAAGGAAATTCTACAACATCATTCATCCATTTATCTGAATTCAACAGAACGTTTCAAACCTAAAATGGTCTAACAGACAGTTTCACAATTAATAGAGGCATTAGGCTCATTAGGGATTGGCCCACATATTTTCAACATCCATGTAAATGACATTAAAACGTCATTAGACTTGGCTCGTAATGACCCACCAAGTTTCTTAAAGACAAGTCTCCCATGTCTGTTATGACGACCTTGTAGTATTATCCCAATCACATACCGGCTTACAAAATGCCATAAATTCTCTTGAAACATATTGTCAGAAATGGAAACTCAATATAAATATCTCTAAGTCAAATATCGTCATGTTTATTTTCAAATTTTTCGTTGATGGGAGGAAACTTGAAAATACAAAAACCTACACATACCTCGGTATTAAACTACACAAATCAGGAAAATCCATCGGAGCTCAAAAACAAATGCTATTCTCAGAAAAACTAATTCCAATCAAAACATACTTAAAAATGTTCGATGCAATTGTAAAACCAATTATGCTTTACTGCAGTGAAATTTAGACGAGCGGGGACATCAACAAATCATGTCTCATAGCAAATCTGTCAATGGTGGAAAAAGTACAATATACATTTCTGCATACCTTCTAAAAGTGAAATAGCAAAGCAAGTAATTGCGCAAGCCTGCTAGAGTTGGGAAGATATCCATTCCTAGCAACAAGCTTAAAGGGAACCTCAATCCAAACAACATATTGACCCCTAAAGAAAAAGCTCAACAAATGTAGGAGAATGAAATTTACAGTTTTGTTGTATCACTTTTCATTCTCTAGATATTCCACTTTTCATCAGTATTACGTAGTCAGCCATCTTGATTTTCAAGCAAAGGATTATGGGTAAAGTATGACATCATAGAATCTGTTGTCAGAAATTGAGAAAATTATTACCATATTACTATAATAATTCATTCATATTAATGTTTAGCTAGTTTGCAAGCATATAATTCGATAAAATAGCGTAGTGGTGATACTGAAACCGGGCCTAGTTATTGTTATGTTATTTTTTGAAGGAAAATGAATAATTTCAAGAAAAATGTAAATAATGGAGCCACGTGATTTGCTATTAGTCTATTCAAATCTTTTGAACACGCGGTAATAACTAGTTAGTAGTAACGGTGGCAGCTTGGAAAATTTTGTTTTTATACTTTCACACACCTGCACTATCAGAGTTGTGTTAACAATACTCGGAATTAGATTTTCGTTCCATATGTGGCAATGTCGCGATCGCGTCAACGTTGGCCTTCATTTTTGGCAAAAAAATGTTTAGAAAGCCGAGCAGAAGCAAAAAAAAAAAAAAAAAAAAAAAAAACATTTACAAACACCAATAACATGGTGAACTAAGCCAAACCAGCAAAACATTACTTTTTTTACGATTAATCACAAGATAATGCTTTAATCAAGATGAGATATCAAACAAAATTATTACTAGTATTACTTTTATTCAAAAAGGTTTTTCCCACCAACTAGATTGCCTTGTTTAAATTCCGGGTTGGTGTATATATGTCTCTGAGGTCGAGATATTCGCTCATATACGAACCCATAAGTATACCAAATCGGAAAAGTATTACCGAATATTTATACCTATCTTTGACCAGAAATAAGACCGATAAATCTAAAAAGCGAGACCCATTTCAGGGGCACGTCCCCATTAGGCAAGTTCTATGTATTTGCCCCCCCCCCCGGGGAATGACTTTATCTGCGGAAACTTGACAGGCAGCAATGTAACCAATGTTATGAAAGTTGGGGGGGG